AGTGAAGGCTCGTTTCGTCCAAACTACTGGCTGCTCGCCCCATCACTGCCTGTGTAATACGCCGCAATCTTATGTACTTTTTAAGCTATTTTGTTTTGGCTATACAGTGGAGCTGCATAATTCAGTCTTTCTGAAAAGTTGTTTTAACTATTGGAGAATGAAGCTAATTCTCACTGAGCACTAGTTTCACCCTCAATGATCACTGGTTTCATCTTCATTGACCACCGGTTTCATCCTCACTGACCACTGGTTTCATCCTCACTGACCACTGACTCCATTCTCAAACGGCCACAGGCCGTTTATTTTAAAATACACTCACGGATATTTTTTTGTAAGCTTGAAGAATTTTCGTTAGCCTTCCAGGGCGATGCAAAGTTCTTTAATTCATTGCGGGATGATGCAGGACTTCGTAACATCGAGTTATTCCTAATTGTGAAAATCACCACCAAACGTCATTGTGATCCGCAAGTTTGTAGGGCTCTGCACTTATTTGGGGCGTGAAACTTTCAAATTTGACAACAAATGACGAGAATGTCTCTACACTGACTGACAAACATTTGTCTTACTCCAAATTCTTTTGTGCGCTAGTCAATTATCTCTTTTTCACCCTCAAAGGTAGCTTGTCTCTGAAATTAAGGGACAAACCTTCAACCTTAGATTTGAATTATAACCCCCTCCCCGCTCCTCCTTCACGCAGTACCCATAGTCTTTCAATATGTCGCTTGAATTTCAAAATCTCACAGTTTTAGCTTCTAATTTTATGCTCTATAGCTGTCTTTACAGAAAAAGTTTCAGTCGATTTTAACATTTGGTTTTCCTTGTCAGTTCAAGAAACTGGAAATACAAATAGCAAATGTATTGTACCCAGCCCATTTGCTTACTAATTAATAATAGTTAACTCTGCTCCGGGCATATTTTTGTAAGATTAACTTAGCAGTCACTTTTTATAGTAGTAGAATTTTCAATCTCCTAGCCTTTTTAGCTAGAAATTCTCCCCGCCAAATGTTTTCGCAGGCCGTACGTAAGATCCAGGCCAAATTAAATTTGTCAGATTGCACGTGGGCGAGAAATATTCTCTTAAAATTCCGGCTTTCTAGCTTTTGTGGTTTCAGAGTTGAAAACGTGAGACAAAACGCATTCGGTCACACACACACACATACAGAAATGCGAAACACATACATAGGAGCGTGACAATATGCGTTTAGTGTAGCTGCTACACAGTACAAAACGCATAATAAAGTTCATTAATCGAAAACCAAGGTAGTTGTGAGTGAGAGAAAAAATCCGACTAAGCTGCTTTTGCATTATCTTGTAAACAAAGCAACCTCAGAACAAAATGGAATGGAAATGCTTCTAAGAGCATGAATGGCGAGAAGAAATTTGCAGCGATAGAATGCGGCTTTTCAGAGTACCAGTGTAAATAGTCTTCTCCTCATTTTCAGTATCTTTTTCAAAAGGATGATTTGAAGTGAAGCAACGATAATAGCCATCCCGAAAGCCATTGCTTACGCAGTAAAAGGCGATGCATTTTTTGAGACGCTAAAATTAACAGTCGAAAATGTATTATTCTGTGAAAAAACAGGATGAACGGGCGCCAGCGCAAACAATTTGGTTCAGTAGGAAATCTTTCCATAAGAGGTAATATTCCCAGTTCGTGCAGTCAATACTTTTTATTTCAATTTTACCAAAAATACCAAAACTGGCTGGACAGTTGCTTAGGGGGTCTAATTTAATCATATCAATGAAATGCTTTCACACACTGGGCGCATTTAATGCCAGATTCTTAGATCCTCATCTGTACATTCCCACCCACTTACCCACCGCCACCTCTTCGGGGATCAGTCCCCGAGCAGTCGTTTATTTCTTTGGGGTACCACTCACTAGTATGCGACGTCTGCCGGCTGTCCGCAGAGCTTTTAGCGCATCTTACACCTCTGCGAAGCGATGTTGGCAGTGAGAACTATGTCGTCAGTTTAGCGTTGGTGGTTTAACCGCTCGTCAGTGTTGTTCAAACAACCGTCATCACCGTAAATTTTACATGAAAGAATTTCCGCTTACTAGTCGTTCATTAGGAACGATCTGGCTGTTCTCGATGCCGAGATAGCGATTTTCTCGCCAAAATCACCTGTCCATATTCATGAAATACGCGTACTAAGCAGATTAATTCATTATAAGTTGAAGAGGGCATCTTCCCAAACTTTCAGCTTCCTAGCTTGCCTGGTTCCCGAGTCAGCGATTTCCTTCCCAAAGATTTCAAGTGCTCGTAGTGGGACTTGGACGGGCGGTGAGATTCGCATCACTTTCCTCGGACTGTGCCTGGCCATGGAATCCACTGGCAAAACTTCAGCGTTGAGGCTTGCTTGGTTGCCGAATTGAAATACCTGGACCTCTCGACAATATACCTTCTTGCTCACTGTAGCAGAAAAAAGGCATAAAAAAATATAAATCAGGAGAAAAATTGTTTCAGGCACAGGATATACACGTTCTGATAATGCTCCATGCTCCAGGCTGCAAAACGCCTTTCCAGGAGCACCAGCGCCAAAGCCGTCACGACGAGCAACTGCAGCCACCAGTGCAACACTTCGAAAAGCGGGTAGCATTGGAAATATACGTACTTTGCTCACATCATCAACTTCAGTTGCAAAAGAAGCTTCGAAAAGGTCTGCCAAGTGTCATCACTTCGTCTGGAACGCTGCTAGTTCTAGACCACATTGAGGTGACTCACGGGCTAGGAGATCCGAAATATCTTAACGAATGTTTAAAATCACTAAAATCAACACTATTTCGTAAAAATCAAGGAAACGTTGTCAAATTAACCATGCAGAATTTCTCATGGAAAAGCCCTGTGTACAGGCTGCTAAAAAATTATCCAATCCAATGCACGGATTTCTCACGCGTTCTTCAAAGCTGCCAAATTGCTGCTGAACAGAATCGGATTTATGCGCTTGCTGTCTTAAGGGATTTTGGTTTGTGGAGTTCACTTTGCAGGATGCCCGGTGCATGTCCGTATCGACAGAACAAGCTCGAGCAATCAGCACATTTACAGGAGCAATATACGAGGAATCTACAGCAGCAGATTTATCTTCTAGAACTTGAAAACAATTTTTTGTAAGGTCTTCTTCTCTTACCATACTGAACACCTGAAACACTCGCAACTTGAAAACGATCTCGTTTGCTATTGATTATGAATGTGGATGCATCTCATCTCAATATAATAGATAGTGAAGT